AGTAAAGTACAGATACACGAAAACTGTACTTAAGTACTTCCCACCACTGACCATCACATCATGTGGCGCTGCGCGTTGCTTCAGCAGGTAAACCACACAACTCCAGAGAAACATGAACACAACATGCAGCAATATCTTAAAGGGGCAGCGCTGTGTTTTCCAGCCACAAAGCTCCATTTTAAAGCACATTACAACTATTTTCACATCAGTTGTTAGAAAAATGCTGTATATTTCAAATATGACTTAAAAGAAATTTTATTTTGTAATGTAAAGCCTTGTAATTGGGTCTCTGTCACTTTAAGAAGCTCCTGCTCTTTCCTTCATGAAGTCATACCAACATGGCTCCACTATCAACCCTTAACAACATTTTTACCAGCATTTCACTGAGCAGAAGCTCCCATGATGAGCTCAGTTCCACCAGCTGTTTGCTAATTGCTGCTGGCTAGTCTGAAGGAGCTGAGAGGGGGAGGAGCTTAGCCTCGAAGGCGGGGCTCGGTCAAACCAGGCATTTTGTAAAGCTGAATGGTTGCCATGAAGATGAAAGGATTTCCCAAACATGCATGAAAGAATCACAGCAACACTGCAGAGAAAAACTTTATAACATGATGGGAAGATAAAAAAAGGCTGATTTCACATGACATTAAATAGGTAATTATTTTCCCTGACCTTGGATGACTGCAGCCCAAATCATCAGCTAAAAGAACCACAGTGTTTAATTTGCCCAAACTGTCCCAGCTGCAGCAGCTGTTCGTGTCTCAGGTGTTACCTCCTTGTCCAGCGACGCCTCCAGGTGCAGCGGTTTGTCCGACATCAGGAACTGCCTGGTGGTCTCGGCCGTCGGCTGGGGGCCCGGTTTCTCCGGGGCGTACTGAACCTTCCTGATGACCAGGCGCACCGAGTTCCTGAAACAACCAGAACCAGAACCTAGTCCCAGCAGCCCAACAGGAATCCTCCCATCCTGCCTTACCAGGGGCCCGACCGCGGCTCAGCCACTTTTACCTTTTGTGGATTTTCTCCTCCAGATTTTCCGCGCAGAAAGCTTTCACCTCAAAGTCGACGCCGCAAGCCTGAGGACAGCAACAGGAGGAGACAACGGTTTGACTCCTCCTCAGATCAGACGGGACAGAAAAATGAAGCTACCTTCCCGGTGTCCTCCGGTCCCGGCTGCAGGGTGACGGAGCACGGCAGGTTCAGAGGGATCTGGAAATAAACCCGTTAAAAATTTAAACCTCACTCAAACATTTATGACTCAGCAGCAGGAGGAACATCGTCTCTTCTGATTCCAGAGCTCCTGAATCAGCCGTTTAAAGAACAGCTAGCAGCACCTTTAAGGTGAGTGGGCGGAGCCTATCTGCCATTTAACAGCCGACTGGCCCGATAACCAGCCTGGGTCCAGCAGATTAAACATCTACAGTGGTCAGTGCCATTTATGAAACAGATTGAGGTCAGAGTGCAAAACCAAATCTTTCATCTCTAAAAAACCAAGCAGAAAGTGAAACTTTTTGACAGACGTGCCAAACCAGAGCAGCAGTCTCTTCGGTACCTCGAAGGTGAAGGGGTAGGCGTGCTCCCCCAGTTTTTTAATCAGGCGTTCCTGGAGACGAGTCAGACTCTTCTTCTCTTCAGGCAGTGGAGGAAACGCCTGGATGTTCGCCACAAACAGGTCTTTCCTGAACGTCAGCCCCAGGACGTCCAGGTCCTCCCGGCCGTACCGGAACGCACAGGTCAGCGTGACGAACACTGGAGAGAGCAGAAAGATCAGCAGCTCCAGGACACTTCCCAGAGGAACCCCGCCAAATTAAAGAGCGCTCCGATTCCTCACATCCAACGCCACACAACCAAATCTCAGGGGCCTCACCTTTCCTCTCCTTCAGGTATTCTGGGTCAATTAACACAACACCATCTGCAGAAACACACACAGAGTGAACACAGAAGCCTGACGGTGGACAGGTTTCATTTCACAGCCTGAACTAAAACCTCACCGACGGGCTCCACCAGGTCCACATGGTCCACAAAGTCTCTCTTCCCCAGGTAGACCGTGAGCTGGTGGAGAAATAAAACCTTCAGCTCAGAATCCATTTTCTGATGTGAAAACGTAAACCGAGCAGACTGGTTTTTACTTTTCTTCTATTTTATGTTGTTTCATTGTGCGACATTTGGTTCACTGTAATTTCTGTTAATGTGCTTAGCAAATAAAATACATGATACATTATGTTTTGGTATGACAAGATATGCTACTCTATGGTATTTTATGCTACGGTTAGCTGTGCTACGCTATGGTATTTTATGCTACGGTTAGCTGTGCTATGCTATGGTATTTTATGCTACGGTTAGCTGTGCTACGCTATGGTATTTTATGCTATGGTTAGCTGTGCTACGCTATGGTATTTTATGCTATGGTTAGCTGTGCTATGCTATGGTATTTAATGGAATTCAACCTTTATTTAACCAAGATAAAATCTTCTTGAGATTAAAAATCTTTTTCCAAGTGTCCTGGCAAGTAGCAGCAGCATAACTACAGTACTTACTTACAGATGGACACACTTTCACTCATCAACAACATGCTATGCTATGCTGTGACATGAAATCGTATGCTATTCTATGTTAAGCTATGATTGTTGAATTTTGTGGCGCGATGGTTGGACTACGACAGGTTTTGTGGCGTCAGAATCGTGTTGTCACAGTTTTGGAGCGAACGGTAGGAATGAGAGAGACAGAGATCCGATTATGAGTACTCATTACTAAAATATTCTTTTACAACAGCCCTGTTTTGTTCGTCCGTATGGGGCCCTCTGTCTGCTCTGTCTCTTATTTAGCACTTAGAAGGTTGTGAGTTTAAATTCAGTGGATGTGCCCTGAGACACGGCATTTCAGTCCAGGTTCCCTGCTAATCTGCTCATCGCTGTGAGTGCAAACAGGGAGACTAAAAAAAGTTTAATCCCATTTAAGCAGCCGAGTGGAAACGTTACGGTTTTCAGTCTGATGAAGACGCTCTGGGTGTCAAATATCAGTGAAAATCTTAAATCTATCTTCTTTAAGCACAACAGACAGCGTGTTCTTCTGTTTTCAGTTCAGTAAAATCCAGATAAATCTGAATTATAAACTGCAATCTGTTTAAATCTGGTTCAGAGAAACTGAGGAAACGCGACGGTGAGGATGAATTAGGGATGAGATCAGCAATGACAACGCAGCAGAAAAACTAAATCTGGCTGCATAACTTAAAACATTTCATGTTTAAACATGAAATTATGTTTTACTAAGCATCATTTTATTTTGTTGTTTTAGAAAAAAACATTATTTTATTTATAAATACTCAAAGTAGCTCCAACCACTAAACCAAAACCATTTTATATGTGAAAAATATTTAAGTTTTCAAATATAGAAAATGAGAATAAAACTCAATCTTATTGGACGGTTTCAGTGTAGGTCAGGGATGTCCAAACTGCGGTTCAGGGGCCGTTTGTGGCCCTTGGATTGATTTTTGTTTTTGTCTGCCTGACTTTATTTTTATTTTCTCGGCCTGCCGGTTCTTTAGACTCAATGATTTTGGCCCCTGGTGTAGATAAATTAAAATATTTTAAATTGTTTAAAGTTTAATTTTAAGATTCAAATTAGCTTGTTAACGTTGTCCAAGTGCAAAGAATAATCATTCTTTGATGGTCTGATGATACAAACTCAAACTTTTCTTTGTGTTTGAAATACTGAGGAACTTTAAATATTTATTTTAATGGATTCCAACAGTTTCTTTGTAGCTCAGTTTGTAAAAATGTAATTTATTCAGATTTCCTGCGGAGCGTAGTTAAAGTCACACTTTATACTCCAACTAGAAGAAGCAAACAGATCCTGATCTCTCAGCAGCAAACAGTGCCGCCCACAATCTAATGCCACCCTGGGCTTCTGCCCATACGGCCCATTTCAACCATCTGAACCTTCAGTTCACTAACATGTTCATTTTATAACTTCAGTTCTTTTAGTTCAGTGGAGATAGAGCGTAATATTTTTAATACTCTGCTGCCTTCAGGACTCCGGGCCTCCAGAACGCGTCGCCCTGAAATAAAATGGAGGAGGATTTTCTGAGACTCACCTTCCCGTTGGGACTGGCCTTCTTAAAGACTCTGTAGGCAGACAGAGACAGAAACGGGTCAGGAACCAAATAAACCTGTTCAGATCAGATCAGTTCAGATCAGTTCTAGTTCAGTTCAGATCAGTTCAGTTCCAGTTCAGTTCAGATCAGTTCAGATCAGTTCAGTTCAGATCAGTTCAGTTCAGATCAGTTCAGTTCAGATCAGTTCAGTTCAGATCAGTTCAGATCAGTTCAGTTCAGATCAGTTCAGTTCAGATCAGTTCAGTTCAGTTCAGATCAGTTCCAGTTCAGTTCAGATCAGTTCCAGTTCAGTTCAGATCAGTTCAGTTCAGTTCAGTTCAGATCAGTTCAGTTCAGTTCAGTTCATAGGCCGCCTATTACCAAATTGTCTAATTTATTTTTACAAAATGATGTAATCAGATGGAAAAGATATTAAGTTATGTAAAACTTTGCCAGAATTTTAATATAAATTCAGATGTCTGAATAATTTTCCACAAAATAAAACCAGTTGCTGGGTTTCAGTCATGTGACCCGGATGACGTGTGAAATTCAGATGGAGGTCCGGAAGCAAAGTTGATCACAACAGTAGCTGATGCCCTAAATAGGCTGGAACATAAAAATATTCGTACATTTAGGATATGGTCCGTATTATCTCGGTAAAAAAGGACTTCTCTTTAATCTTGAGGATTTATTCGCATCGAGGCGACCAACGTAATCAACTACCTGGAGCTGCAGACCTCATGTTATACGATGAGCCAGAAGAAAGTTTTCAAAAGCCTGGAGAAAACAGTTTTTAGTTTCAGGTTGGGTCAAGCATTCAGGATCAAAAGCAGCATTAAATGGCTGACGACTTGTTTCTGCCGGGTGAGAAGCGAGTTGTGCTATGTTAACGATGCTATCGCTAACAACGAGCTAACCATGTTATTTTATGAGCTTGAATCTCCTGGTAAACAATTGGTTTAGCTTCTGTAAACCCAAATTCATGCTGGATTTGTACGTTAATGTTGAGTCGCTGCTGGATTCGGGTCCAATGTCAACGATTGGCTCCCAGGAACCCCGTGTTCGTGTCTGGTCGTGTCCAGACACGAAGCCTGTGGGGGAACAGTAACAGCTCACTGTCTGTATGGCTGGTAGGTTCATTTATTTACCTTTTTTATTTTTTTTTAATTTAGCATTAAAGTCCCACTGAATAAACATATTTTCTGTCCGTGACTCGGCTCTGAGCTAGTTGCTAACAACATTAGCGCTCCGAGGACAGCCATGCTAGGGCATAAAAACAACATATCTGACCTGATGAATGCTTGTCTTTCTAAGCAACTGTCCAATAAAATATCTGAAAATACAATTTAAACGATGCGATTGTTTCCTGTTAGAAAGTGGTGCTGCAAACGCTGGCATTAGAGGAGATCCACTTTTCTCCTCATTTTTCAGTAAGTTTTTTAAAATTAACTGATAGTTGGAGCCAACAGGGGCCCTAAAAGCTGCTCCTGCGGCCCTGCAGAGTTTAAACCAGGCTGGTCCTCCTGCTGTCCCTCCCCGTCCCCCGTGGGCCCGCGCCCCGCTGCGCCCCCTCCTCTGAGGTAATGCGGTAATAAATTAGCTCCATTAGCTCCATTAGCATCGGGGCGGCGTGTTACCGGAAACCGGCCGGACTCCTGGGAGCTCAGAGCGCCATCAGCCGCTCGCCATAAACTCACTAATTATTCCAATTACACTTTAACTCCTCAGATCCCTCCGCCCTGAGCCGCTGCACCACCTCAGATCCCTCCGCCCTGCAGGAGGAAACTCTGTTTCTCCTGATCACTGCACTTCTTGTTGGATCTCCTGTAGCTGTCACTATTGCAGCGGTGCAGAATAAGCTCCTGACTGAAAAGTCTTTTCTTTTTTTTTCAAATAGGAAACATCCAGATTAATTAAATGTTATTTAAATTGGAATGGCTGAAAATGACTTTATGTCTGAATATCTGGAATGTCTTTGTTATGGATTACAGCAGATTATGATGGAATAAACTGGAATGTGATGATTATAATGAATTATTTAGTTTAATGTTTAAACATGGAGAATATTAGACTGAGTTGTGCTGAAGCTTCATTATTTAAACTGGAATAAATCTGGTTTAAACTCTGATTCATTTAAAGATTTTAGATTAGAAATGGATCTAGATTAATATAGATTAAAGGGAAATAAATATTTAATTTGATTTGATGGTTTATAGTTTGGTTAAACTGAGTTGGTTGAAATTAAAACAAATTTGGTTAAAAATGTGATTTTTTTAAAGAAAGCAGAGAATATTGGTTTGAGTTCAAGTGGAATCAGTTTTAATTACTGCGGAGTTGATTTATCTACAGACAAAGTGACCAGTCCAGGCCGGCGGGTTGATGGAGGAAACGCTGCTGCCGTCCGCAGAGAAGAACGAAAACACATTAAAGATTCATCAGACCGACGGCACAGACTCATCTGACAGCAGACAGGAAGTGATTAGAGCCTCAGATCGATCACTGATCAATGCTGGTGTGAGAACCAATAACTCCTGACGCACAGATCAGTAAAACATTTAAAGGTGGATTTGTCCAGCAGACAAGCCAAACAAATTCTCCGCCATGTTTAGTGTTGTTAGTGCCAGCAGGGGGCGCTGTGGGAAACAACCAGGCAGCAGGTCTGCCGGTCGGATCAGAGCCACAGAAAGAATCTGGCATTTTTAGATTAATCACAGAAACCATCTAGAAAACACTTCTCAAAATGTTTGACTTTTGCAACTCAGAAATTTCCAGATATTTTTCTAGAAAATTTCTGAGAGAAATCTTTTAATTTTCAAGCTCAAAAATGTTTTTGTTTTTATGGAAAATGTCTGAGATTAATGTCAAGACATGGCAGAAATTTATGCTGCTTTTTTATTTTCAATCTACAATGACTCTAATGCACCGTTGTAAAGGAAAATGTCGGCCATTTTTGAAGTCCAGAGGCAGAAACAAATTACCAAGATGATAGGCAATCTCTCAGAAGACTCAGCGAACTGCTGTAGAACTGAACTGAATGAGGATCATGCACACAAAACTCATCCGATTCATTTTTGAAAACGATATAATCCAAATGTTTCTGTTTTTATTTTGGTGCAGGACAAATGTGGAGGATCCCATCCATCCACTTTCTAACACCCCTGTCCCTTAATGGGGTCAGGAGGAGCTGGTGTCACCTGGACAGGTCGCCTGGACCCTGGACAGGTCACCTGCACAGGTCACCTGGACAGGTCGCCTGGACCCTGGACAGGTCACCTGCACAGGTCACCTGGACAGGTCGCCTGGACCCTGGACAGGTCACCTGCACAGGTCACCTGGACAGGTCGCCTGGACCCTGGACAGGTCACCTGCAC